GGTATATTTAACTCATTTATTCGAAAATTGTTATATGCGCCCTTTTTTCTTATGCCCGTAGCATTGCTTCATACCGAGCTAGATACAGGTCGACAGCGGAGTGAGTGTGGGTACAGTCGCGTTCTAAAGTACTACATGGTATTGGGCTATTGTTTTATAATATTATAGTAATTAATTGTTTTATTGTAGAATCATAATAGGTGTTTTACTAGCTACTTAGAACTTTGGAAGAGGTGGGAATTAAAAATAGATAATGTTTACTTGAGCATTGTTTGTTATTTCTATCGTAAAATATAAAGTAGTTTGTAACAAAAAAACTTAAGCTAAGGGTGATACGCCGTCCATTATGACGTCTTGGGTCACATGGAAGCCAGATGTTGATGGTGTGTTGGTGTTACTGGATGCTACTTCATCATCACTTTCATCTTCGCTTGAGCTTCCGTCATCAGGTCGATCACATGGTAATTTTTTCGGTATTCTTCCTCAACAATTTTAACTTTACTGCACAATTTTCCCCATTCACTTTTTCGTTCACTAGTTTAGTCATAAAACAATAGATATAAATAATTTTTTTTCCTTCCTTTTTAAAACATCGTCGCGAGTCGCAAAGTAAGCTGTGTATGCGACTGTATTTTTGGAGCGAACAAAGCGCGGGAACCAATAGCATGCAGGCACAGTAATACTGGCCAATATGTGATAAATCGCTCAGTGCCCAAGTTCAAGGCCAGCGTTCTTTTTTCACTGTTCGCGCGTACATTAACCTCCATTAGTCAGGTGATATCAATTCAGTTTCCACTGCTGGTTTTATGTTTCAGTCTTTTTATGATTTTTTTTATGAAATTATCGTTTCATTTAGCTGTACTAACATGATGACGCGTGAATAAAGCTAATAAAACGTTGTAAAAATATGTTTTTTTTTTCATCAGGATCAAATTTATTTATGACCCATGATCAAAGGTATACTTGGTGCTGTCGCCTGTCTTAGTTTTCGGGAGCGTTCCAAAAATACCCTGTATATGTGGTATATCATACGTGGTAGAGCCATGCTGCATCTATATTATGGTTGTAGCACGAATGGGTCGGCTCGACCGGGGAAGGACCACGCTCTCACAGAATACCAGCGTAAAATAGCAGCTTAACGCTGCTGTGTTTCGTATGGTGAGTGTAGAGAACCGGAGACCCTTTTTACTGGAAACGAGGCATTCCATCTTAGTCCTCACGGGTGACAACGCATCTGCATTTTGACTCTTAATCGAAGATAGATGTACATGTCTATGGGCCACAGCGACCACTTACCATCAGGTGGACTGTGTGCTCGTCACCCTTATCCTATAAAAAAAAAATTATGTCACGTTTAATTCTCCGTTACTTCTGTAGTTGACTATGAGCGGTCGAGAATAGTAGTTCTTTGTTTTGTAAACTGCGAAAGTTGTTTTCGACAATTTAATATTAAATTTGTTTAATATGACTAAGAAACCCCTGTCATTATTTATGTGTACTTTGTCAATGTGATTTCAAGTTTATTTCAGATAAGTATGCTACTTTATTTCGCATTTGCTTAAAAACAGTAAATGCAATCCCAGCGTCCGCGTGATCCATAGCTGTGACACAGTTTTTGTTCTGAATTTTAATTTTTAGTAGTTTTTATACATAGAAGTCTTTGCATTCCACCCAATAAAAACAGACAGTTGCAGTCCTGCAAATAACTTCAAGGAAAAAAGATATTTTCAGCCCCGTGGATTCACCCCTGTTAATTATACTAACTTCACTGATTGTAATAAAAAAACAACGTTATTCCAGGCACAGGTTGGAACGTGTCAAGCACGGGTGTGTCAGATGCGGCGGGTGAGGAGGGCGAGGTGGTGGTGACGGCGGCGGTGGCGGGCGGCGGGGAGGCGGGCGCGGCGCTGGGCGCGCTGGCGGCGGCCGTGCTGCGGCGCGCCGGGCTGCGCGCGCGCCGCGCCGCGCCGCCGGCCGCGTGCCGCGCCGCGCCCGCCTCGCCCGCGTGCCGCAGCGCCGCGCTGGCCGCGCTGGCCGCCGCGCGCCTGCACGCCGCGCTGCTGCCCGTGCCCGCCGCCGCCGCGCCGGCCGCCTGGCTGCTGCGCGACTACGGGCTCGACGAGTTCGGCGACGCCGCGCCGCCCGCGCGCCGCGCCTGCATGCGCCTGCCGCACGCGTCCCGCGCCCGCGTCGCACGCTCGCTGCTCGACCTCGCCGATCCCGACGTCGCACGCCTCTATCACGTCACGCAGTCCAGGCTTGACCTCGCACTTCGATCCGTCAACGACTCCCGGTAAATAAATCCTCCAGGCTGATTATGAATCACAGTAGTTAGCCTCATCCGAGACTAGCCATCGGCTTATGACAGGATTATGGTGCCCGAACGAATGCGCAAACACAAGTGAACACTCTATTCCTTCACTCTCATAGGCCGATGGGAGTTTATCTGACATCACAAGTTTATGTGCTTTCCACGTCACGGGAGTTCACCCCCCCCCCCCCCCCCACCACCACCACCACAAACTTCCAAATTGTTATTGAGAATACCTTGACATAAAACCAACCCCGTTTACGACCTCTAGACCAAAGTGTCTCGGTAAATATATGTCACACAACAATACTTACATAATGTCATTGAAGTAATATGTACTTCGTACTGGAAGAAATACCACGAACAAAATCTGTGCGGCAGTGCGGGGTCCGTGGTCAGAGACACTGAGTACATTTTATGGCACATGTACGGTCCAACCGTACATTTCTGTTGGCGTTAACATTTTACGCAATGCATAGAGCTCCATAGGCCAATTGCTCTATATTAAAAAAAAAAAACAAATTTCTATTATAAAAGCTTTTACAAAAATTTACTTCACAAATATCCGCGTTATTTTTTTTTGTTTTTTTTTATTTTTTTTTAAGCACCTCCAGCCCTCCCTCAATCGCGTGCACTATCCCCGTCACCACTAATCCCAGCACCGCTACTTCCAACACCACTACACTAGGCAAGACACACCACTGACGATAATACGACACGTGTTTCGCCTCTACACGAGGCATCCTCAGGTGATATAGACTCTACGGTGGCTAACCGCTAAGTGAGCGGCGAGCCAAAACAAGTGCCTTTTATACAAACCGATGATGCAACCGCTCTCTACCTAAGGAGCGAGCGACTGCGTCATGCGATAAAACGTGCGACCAATCACCGCTGGACTTACGCAGCCGTTAATAACGCGCTAATTAAAATAACGCGGATATTTGCGAAGTAAATTTTTGTAAAAGCTTTTATATAATGGATTTCTGCAAAGTAACGCCTGATTCTATTAATTAAATTTCTATTAATTTTCCTGCAACGCTTCCCGCGCTTTTCATTTATAACGATGGATCTTAACCGTGAACATTTGCGCGCTATGATATATTATGATTTTAAATATTGGTTTAACACAATTAAGTTTACAACGGTTAAAATCAGCATTATAAGGGCACTCAGCTTCATCACGCGCAACATTTTTTAGGTGGTGTGCTGAATTCAATAGGAGTAAAATTAATCTTAAAGATGAGCAAAGAACCGGGGCCCCGCAAACAGCACTAACGGCAGAAAATGTATGGACTACTGAAATTTTGGTGCGAGTAGACCCACGAATCACATATACAGACATCGAAATGATTATAGGCATTAGTTCGGGGAGCATTCATACCATCTTACATCAACATCTTGGAATGAGGAAGCTTTGTTGTCGGTGGATCCCTCGTTTGCTCTCCGAAAACGAAAAACAGACTCGTGTGGATTGGTGTCATGAAATGCATCTACGTTTTGAAAACGGGGCATCTAGAAGTGTTTCAGAAATCGTTACTGGTGACGTGACATGGACCTATCAATATGATCCGGAAAATAAAAGGCATTCATCGGTATGGCTCTACTCAGAAGGACAGTTACCGACAAAACTGCAAAAACCTCGTAACGTCGGCAAAAAAGGTGGCTAGTTTTTTTCGTGGAGCGGACATTTGTCGACGTCAATGCTAGAAAATTGTAGGTTTTCCAGCTGTGCGGGAGAGAAGACCAAAGACCGGGCTTCGGGAAATCATGCTGCATCACGATAACGCCTCTTCACATACCTGCCTTAGAACAAAAGCATTTATTGAGAAATCTGGTGTTGAAACTCTAAGTCACCCACCCTACAGCCCTGACTTAGCTCCTTGTGATTTCTTTTTGTTCCCAAGAGTCAAAGAAAAATTAATAGGCAAAATTTTTTCGTGCGCCAAATAAGCCGTGGCTGCCTACGAAGAAAATGTTTTCTGACCTGTCAGATCACGACTGGCAAAAGTGTTTTCAGAGGTGGTTTAGGCGAATGGAACTTTATGTAGAGCATGATGGAGAATATTTTGAAAAGATGTAAAATAAATATTAATAGTATCTAGAATACTCTTTGTGTACTCGTATCTCAAAACTTATTGCGTGATCTACGTAACATTAACATTAACATTTAGCATTATTCAACATATTTTAATGTTATATTTTTTACTAGTTTATTAAACTGTTTTAACATAAAATTTAAATTATTATTGAACATTTGTCCAATACCCGAACAGCACAGACAAGTAAGTTTCAGCTCATTAGCTCTAACAGCACTAACAATCTACATTTCCGTATATAGTACATATTACTTCAATGCATAATAGATAATTATTATTATTATCGATCTACGATATAAAAGCACGTGTTTATACTTGGATCAAACGACTTAACAATGTGTAAGCTTATAACAAGTAATTTAACCATACAAATATTGTTGTAATTACTCTCCTGTTTCTCTCCTAATAAGCCACATATTAATCCGCAAAATATAGAACAAACTATAATTATTTCGTAGACCTTAGAAATCAGTCCTTCATGACATTTTGCATTTCCTTTTTACAGAGTTTTCGTCGAACTCTTCGAGCCTCCGTGGTGTAAAAATTCCAATGGAACTTGTGCACTCGCATTGACGAGTGACCGGAGCGAGGCGATGGTTCTTCTCAACACCGCTTTAAAGTTTCAATTGCGTATGCAAATATTGTCGCTGGGCGGCCACTTGGCAGTCACAGTCACCGCACTCGCTGATCCTGCGCCATTGTTCTGCGATTGGGCTCCAGAGTGGACCGACCTCGCATTGCTACCTGCTTTAAGATTAGGACCGCCGCCATGTTCGCCCGACACGAAACACCTGATAGATTCGGTCACAGACTGCCCGTTCGAAAGCTTGCGACTTATGAAATTCGCCAACGTAAAGTCTCTGGCGCGGTCCACCGCCGCCGTGCGAGCTCTCGTTCGTTTCAAACTCAGTTCAGAAGAGATGAGGGAATTGATCGCGCGTGCGCGCAGCGGCGGCGACCCGGACGCGATAGCGATGGAGTTTCTGAACGCGCATCCTAAGAAAGAGCGGCGCGGCGAAGTGCGCGTGGTCGTGATGGTGCCCAGCGTGACGGCGCGCGAGGCGTACCAGGCGCCGCAGCTGGCGGCCGCCGCCGAGCTCGTGGAGGCCGACCTCGAGGCGGCCGGCGTGCCGCGCACCGCGCGCCTCAAGGTGGAGCTGTTCGACGACAAGTGCGACGTGCGTCAGGCGTACAAGTACATGCTGAACGCGCTAGGCACGGGCGAGTACGGCGCGCTGTCGGCGGTGGCGGGGCCGGCGTGCGGCGGCGCGTTCGCGGCGGTGGCGCGCCAGAGCCCGGCGCAGCTGCTGCCCGTGCTGGCGTACTCGGCGCAGGCGCCGGCGCCGGGCGACGCGCCGGCCGCCGCGCTGCTGGCGGCGGGCGACGCGCGCGACGCGGCTGCCGCGCTGGACGCGCTGGCGCGCCGCCTGGCCTGGCGCCGCGCCGCCGCGCTCAGCGAGCCGGCCGCGCGCGCCGCGCTCGACCCCTCGCGCCTGCACCTCGCGCTCGAGGTGCACCTCGACCTGCCCGACCCGCTGCCAGACGACGACGGACAGATATTCATTGAGGTTTGTATTCCATAAACGTTTATTAAAATCCAGCCATCCATTACAACCTAAAAAAAATTCACTGCTGAACATAGGACTACCCCATAAATTGCCTCATTTAGAAAAAGGATGACAAATGAGCATACAGTTCACTTGATAGTATTTATGAATGCTGTGGCCCATGGATATCTACATTCACCGCCGATGAAGAATCAAAATGCAGATGTGTTGTCACCCTAGAGGACAAAGATAAAATGCCTCGTATCCAGTAAGAAACTCTCTAGTTCTTTACATACCATACGAAAGACAGCAGCATTAACCTGCTATTCTGTGAGAGCGTACCCTTTCTCCGTTCGAGCCGATTCATTCGTGCTACAATCACAGTATAGCTGCAACGTGGCTCTACCACGTATAAAATACCGTCATGGGGGAAGTTTTGTCATAGTTGCACGCTCAGCAGGCGGGTTGGCAACCGTAGTTTTTTTATTATTTCGGACTTATAGCACGACCATGCTGTTTCAGTTTCCCTCTGTCACCTCCTACAACACCCAAAGGACAACACGGGGTTATGGATATTCTTACTACACGGTAGTTATAAAAATGGTGTTACACAATTTAGTCACGATTTAAATTTTCGCCGATTTATATAAATCAGCGACAGCGATCTAAGTATATCAAAGTTACAGTGTCCGACATACAAGTATAAACAAAATACGTACTAGATTCAAAACTCATTAACTTTAATATTACATAAATTCGGTGTGATTAAAAGCTATGATTCGCACTTCGATTACCAGAATATTCTAATTAATTATGAGATCCGCTAATACGCAACCGGATACATATACAATACATCTTTACTCGTACTTTACAGCACAAATCTCAGCTACCTGCATCTGCATCTGTCGACTTCCTGAATGTCTCAAACGGGTCGTCATTCCACCAACTATCCAAGCATTACAAAAGTTCACTATTTGTTATGGAACTCTCCCGAAGATGTAGTAACTGCAACGCTTGGCAGGCGAATTGGCGCACATTTGGCACTGTATTTTAATAGCGATCTGTGTTTTCGCAGACAATATTTCCACTCCGATCGTCAACGATATCATAAATCCATTACCCAGCTAAAAGAAGTGGGTTGGGGCGGATTCTTTTATAGGAACACCACAGGGCAATTTAGTTACAATAAATAAGAAACAAAAACACGGAGTACTTTCAAATCGTTGTTATTCTTTTTGCTCGTACTCTTAAGTTATGCTTTTTAGTAAGAATATTGTAATTATCTTTGATTTAAGTAAGAAGTATTTGTAGAGCCTACAAATAATTTTTCTAGGTCTGTTCTATGTATGTAAACTTTCCCTGCGATACAGGATCAAACCCCTGTGGAGGTAACGTTTTTTAAAAAGAGAGGAAGAGAGACTTTAATATTAATACGCATTATTAAGGATAACTCCAAAACTACTGGTGTTTTTTTTTGTATAAAATTATAAATACTGTGGCTGCCTGCATAATATCGTCACTTGAAGACATATTGTTGCCAACAAAACTTTGGTGGAGACAGCAAGTTGTCAACTAAAATGTTTCTCAAATTGTTGGCGACATGTTTCAATTCGGTGTGAAAACATTGGAACAAATAGTTGGTAACTTTTGTTGAGTTGCAAACAGTTGGAAACATAAATTTTGTCAACATTTTCGAAGGGTACGTGGCTTAACTTAGAGCGCTTTTCATTAAACCCGCATAGCCCGATTAGTAGAATACATGAAAGTGTTTGATGGTAACTGCAACTGCATCGAGAAATTGTGTCAAAAGAGAAAAGAGTGGTTTGCAAGATGATGTTGTGACCAGGATTAAGAGAGGAATGGTTCGGTGGTTTGGTCATGTAGACGTAATGAACGAGGAAAAAGTAACAAAGAAAGTTTTGAAAGTTTATTTATACTTTTAACGGATGAGCATGTATGCGTAGGTATATGGATATCAAGGAGGTGAGAGACGTGTGTCGCGATAGTGCCAAATGGAAGTTCGTAGTCTCTGCCTACACCTCTGGTTGACAGGCGTGAGTGTTTATGATTTATGATATGTGAGTGTGTGATGTTTGCGTGCAATCCTTCACCTTCCATGTTCACACCGACCCTCAGGTAATACGGGCTGAATCTCGGGAGATGCACGCGATACGTGTGCGGAGCTCTTTTCCACGTGTACTTTCTTAATTCTTTACAAATTATTTATTCCACTCTTTGTCTCATATTGCCACTCTCATTTTCTTGGCATAACAAGCACATAACGCTTTCGGTTCCGGGCAGATCTCTTGTTATGTTTCCCCTCTCCATGTCAGTCCTTCCCGCAGGCCATGCGCAAACTCACGCAGCCGGCTAAAGTTCTCCTTATCGTCGACGAGGTGGGGGAAGTAAACCGTGTGTGTGTGTGTGTGCGTGTGCAGTGGGCGCGGCGCGTGGCGGCGGCGGGCCTGCGCGTGGTGGTGGTGAGCGCGGAGGACGCGCGCGTGGTGCGCGCCGCGCTGTGCGCCGGGCGCGGCGCCGGCCTGCTGCCGGGCGCGGGCGCCGCCTGGCTGCTGCCGGCCGCGCTGCCGCCCGCCTGGCTGGCGCCCGCGCCCGCCGACCGGCCCGCCTGCACGCTCGCGCAGCTGCGCCAGGTCGCGCAGGGCCACCTCAGCTTCGCGCCCTACTGGCTCGCCGCCTGGCGCAACGAGACCGACCGCTCCTCCAACCCGCTTCCCGCACCACACGAAATAGTACGTATCGTTCGTATTATATTTTGCCTTAATCGCTTATCGTGAACTCCATTATAAAACAACAAAAGAGTAATCATGATTCGGAGAAGAGTTTAATTAACGGCCATTGATATTGGATAGAGATATTGAAACAGGCAATGGGCAACATCATCTTCCTGGTAACAACTCAAAATAATAAAAACCTGTGGTTGATAATCCGCTCGCCAAGCATGGCAACTGTGACTAAATTTATGGGGGAGGCCTATGTTCAACAGTAGATTTTAATAGACCGTAACGGTAACGGTAATAGATTGTTTCCAACGTTGTACAGGCGCAGCGGCAGAGCTGGGAGGCGCGATGGCACCCGCGGTGCTCGGCGTGGGCTCGGCGAGGCGGCGGCGCGGCGGGCGGCGCGGCGGACTGCGCGCGTGCCGGCCCGCTGCCCGCGCTGCTGTACGACACGCTGCGCCTGTGGGCCGGCGCGCTCGACCGCGTGCTGTCCGCGCGCCCCGCGCTGCTCGCCGACCTGCACGACCCTGATATCGTCCGGTCAGTACCCACTCCACTTTTTCTGCCTACAATTTTGGTTTCACAAAGCGTTTTCTGACAGATTGACCAGTGATTATGCGAGCGTTCTTCCAGCGAGATGATCAGTCAACGTTTTCCTAATATTGTCGATCGTGGTGTATTCGTAAAATGTTGAAATTAACATTCGTATGTTTGAAACGTTTTGAAAAGCATTATTTAGTTTAGTTTTCTATTGTTTTTGTCACATAAATCAGGCACTATTCCTTCCACAAATGTAGTCGGAGCCAAGCGACAGCTCGTGAGCTCTAATCTGTCATTCGACTACTGTCGTGAATCACTTTTTCAACGGTACCATACGTTCACATAGTCCACATGATAGTAAGTGGATACTATGTACCCATAGACATCTACATCTATTATCAGTTAAAAATCTAGCATTTTAAACTTACTTGGAGTTAATAATATAAACTAAAATGTTAGCAACTAGCTGATACTCGCGACATTACTGAACACTAGTACTTATAAAAATTATTTTTTCTTAAAACTTTAATAACTTTATATTAAATGTAGATATCGCAATATTTTTTAAATAAGGGCCTAAAGGACTCTAAGAAATAAAACTTAGAAAACCTAACTGAAATCTACTCAGTATTTTTTCGTGATGCGCGCACAACTCCAAACCTCTACCATTTTATTTATATAAAAGATAAAACTTGCCACTTATTTACACTTTTTAAAAAGTCAACAGCATTTCTTCGTCGAAATTCATTCTGTTTATAAATACTCACACATGGCGCGCGCTGAAAATCGCTTAATCTCCCACGACTCTTGACCTCTAGAAACACGTTTCTCCATAACTACATCGTCATTTAACCGAGAAATTAATAAATTTATCAGCTTTTCCTTTTTCATTTTAATTTAATATTTTGTGGATTAACTGTTTAAACAAATGTTTAGTCAATGATTGCAACAATCGTAGTAGGTTAATAATGTAGAGTATGTATGTAGAGTTATAAAATGTATCATTATCAGTGTTTAGGCCCAAACTTCGTCATTTGAGACGCCATCCAATCACGTTTGACTGGGCGCATCGCCCGATGGTGTGAGGTGAAGTGCGCGACGCCGAGGGGGGGGGGGGGCAGCGGTATGCCACTTCCCGGCGTTCGGCCGAGTGAGTGCGAGAGAGTAGCTTTGCAGCAGCGGTGCTATCGATTAGCATATTTTTGTGACCGCTGCATCAGTTTCGCGCAACCAGTTTTTTGGTTTTGTGGTCTAGAATTTGAGTCTTAGTGCGCGTTTAATTTGCTATTGAATTTGGGTCGTGTAGACCGCCTCGAATTAGTTTATCTAAGTAGTACGTTTCGGTACGTTGTATTGAATTTGACTGATTAAAGTAATTTCATTGCAAGTAATTACATCAATTGTATAGTGATTGCAGGTTGAAGTGCATTTTGCAATACTTAACTTGCTTGTGTGACATGGAACCTTGCGCGCACGCTTAGTTGACATGCGGTCTTGAAGTTGATGCTCGCATTCCATTTCGAAGGCGTAGCCCGGTTAATTGTTTTTGGAAGTTAAAGTTAAAGTTAATGTTTAATTGTACCGTAGCGTTAAGTGCCTTTGTATGTGTTGACTATGTAGTTGGTTTGCGTGTCAGCTAAGCTGGTTTAGAGTCTTAATGCGGCGTAGTATTTAATATCGTACGAAGGAACTTAGTTTGTTGTTTGTAGCTCTGAACTTTGTGACTCGAGAAAAGATCGCGTTCTTCCCTGTTTGTAATTTGGTGCTACATGAACCGAACCTTGAATACTGAACTTTGAACGACTGTTCGTTATTTGTATCGGGTGTCTCGTGTTTGATTTCGATGAACGTTGAATTTAGTTGAGTTTGAAGTTAATTAAATGTACAATAAAGTGGATAGACTGAAATAGTGAAATGAAGAAAGAAGTGTCAATTGGTGACGTCCGCTGGAGTGATACAACATTGTGGGGCAGCATCGGACCAGGCCGCTGCCCGATCACCTCAGCTGGATCAGGTCACATATATAAACACTACCATACACCACTTACATGCACCTACACCTACTTAACGCCTGACCGAGCCTAGGAGCAGTCTTAACTTCAGAACCAGGTACGTACTATTTATTTACCTAGCCTTATATCTATTGTGTAGAATGATCAGTCTCCATAGGCCGTTGGCCTTAGTTGTCCGTCGAATCTACCGCTGATGGGCCCCGGGGTTTTTGACCTTTGTTGGGGCAGCTAGGGGCGTGTACAACCAGCTTTACTTAAAACCTTTGATTTAACGTTTGCTTAAACTAAGTATTAATGATCTTTATTTCTTCCTTTTGTCACTTAGTGAAAAAAGGGAAAGCAAATTTAGGCATTTCCTAAACTGAAATTTGGTAAGATCGTATAGTAACCAGCTGAAAATGATTATATTACTGTTGGACAAAACTTACTATTAGTAGTGTAAAAAACCGAGTGCTCATAGAACCATGCGGGTAGCTGAATTTGTTTAATAATAATAATAATAATAATAAACGTTTATTTCGGACATCATGATCCATATTGGTTAGTAACAATTGAGCTTATAACTAAAGTTAGTAATTTAACAATTCAACATAAAACACAGACACAGACAAACAGTCAAGACACACATACAAATAAACATGGCACCCGCCGCTGCCAGCAAGATGACTACTTGACTGCGTGCAGCCGTATCCATCGAGCAAACATCGGCGAGTCCCAACGGTCTGCCAACGCGCGCAAGATACTGTTGGGGCTGTCGCGAACGCGCCTGAGGTGTGAAGCGCAACGTTTACGCATTATGGCGGCGAAACCATATACATGAGCATCCGCAAACATAGCAGAAGCGCTACAGAAACGCGGCAGCCCCATCAATACCCGGAACGCGTTATTATATTGTACGCGAAGATCATTGTATGTCCTCTGCTTAAAGCTAACCCACAGACTGCACGTATAAAATGACTGACAGTAGGCTTTAAAAGCGTAATCTTTGCTTCGTCAGTACATTTAGCAAATCTGCGGGCCAACATATTACAACGGACAGACAATGACCTCCGCTCCCTCTCAATATCTAGGTTGTCTTTTAAGTCTTCCGTGATCCAGTGACCCAGGTACTTAAAAGCCTCAACTTTTTTCAAGGGGGTTCCACAGAGCTTGAAAACTGGCACATTAGTGTATCGCTTGTGGTCCGGATTGAAAACCATGAATTCGCTCTTGACAGCATTGTATTTGAGCCCCTGGGCCACAGCGTAAGACTCGCATATGGTTAACAATTTCTTTAAGGCTGCACTTGATGGACTCAGCAGCACCATATCATCTGCATAACTTATGTTATTAACACAAACTCCGTCTATGTGGCAACCGATACCGGTACTGCTGAGCTCATCAAGGAGCCTATTCATATATAAGTTAAAGAGCGTTGGAGAGCTTAGACCACCCTGCCTCACGCCACATTCCAATCTGTATTCTTCTGAGAGCGAGCCTGCCCATCTGACATTGTTCTTTTGGTTGCTATACCAGTGCTGAAAGAGCAATATAACTTCTTCGGGCAGGCTAGTCTCAGATCTCATCTTGTCCCACAGGCTTTCGTAAGCTACTAGGTCAAACGCCTTTGATAAATCCAGGTAACATACAAACACAGGTGTCTTCCTTGCTGTGTAATACTGGACAGTCTGCTTGAGACACAGGATAGCACTCTCGGTGGAAAGACCTGATCTAAAGCCGAATTGAGCATCATTAAGCAAAATGTGCTTATCCAGACACCCGTTAAGCAAACTGTCCAGTACCTTAGCAATTACAGAAACAAGGGAGATGGGCCTATAGTTGGACACATCAGAGGCGTCACCGGTCCTGTTTTTTGGTATAGGAATAACAATAGTTCGCATCAATTTGTCAGGGAGATATGAATGCCCAATACACAAATTAAATAACAAAGACAAAACCCTTGGCAAATGAACTCCAGCATGCTGCAGGTGTTCGATGCTGAGATGGTCATGCCCAGGCGACTTGCCTCTCACCATGCACTTAATGACTTTAGCTACATCTCTAGCGCTAAAAAATACACTACGCTTAGGACGACCTGCTCCAGCATCAGGCATCGGCGGCTCTGCCGGTCCCAGTGGTGATTCCACTCTAAAATATTCTTTGAAAACATTAGCAATATCACTATGATCATAAGCTCCTGAAACACTCACGGGAAGGCTCGACTTATGATTCATTTTATTGGTGGCTTTCCAAAACTGACCGAAGTTCTTTCTTTTGTGGTGTTCAGCTATTATGTCCATTTTTATTTGTGTCTGATTATTTTGGCACCATTTTAATTTTGCTTTAAAAATGCGTCTTGATTCACACATTTCATTATATACGTGACCAGAGCCGGGTCTGCCATGTAGTGACCAACTTTGAAAACAAAGTCGAGCCCTCCCATGCGCCTCGCGAACGTGTTTGTTCCAACCAGGTAAGTATTTACCTTTTCGCCCTGTCCTAACACTATAGCTACAGACAGCGGCCTCTGAAAGTATACACACAATTCGTTCATACAATCTGTCAAGCATTATTTTGTGTTGATGGTTACTACACATATTATCGCAACATTCCGAAAATTCTGCTGGAAAATCTATTAATTTTAACCTGGAGTTACATTCATTATAATATTCATCAATTTGATCATTATCACGCTCTCCCCATATGATTTTATTAATACAGTTATTTGACTGCGGTAATTTTGGTATTACAGCATTGAAATTACACTCTATCAATACAGGTAAGTGAAAAGTTTTAGGGTTTTAGTTTAAGGGTATTTAATTGATTGATAATGTATTATAATAGGATGTATATAATATTCTGGCCTCAATAAAGTAAATAAATTTCGTAAAATGTTTCAACAGGAGCCTCGTGGACAACGCAACGCAGAGCAACTTCAGCGGTCTGACAGGAGAGTTCTCGTGGGCGCGGGAGGGCGCGGGCGCTTGGCGCGTGTCGCCGCTGGTGCTGCTGCAGTGGGAGGACGGGGCGCGGCGCGAGGTGGCGCGCTGGCGGCGCGGCGCCCCGCTGCGGCTGGCAGCGCCGCGCTGGCACACGCCGGACGGTGCGCCGCCCAGCGACGGTGGCGACGAGCGCTGCGCGCTGCGTCCGCTCGCCGAGCTGCTGCGCGCCGACTGCCGTGCCGCCGCCGTGGCGCTCGCGGCGCTGCTGCTGGTGCTGGCCATGGCCGTGCTGGCCGCCGCCGCGCTGCACTGCAAGCGCCGCGCCGAGCGCGACTACATGGCGCGGCTCGCCGCACTCTCGCTGCGCTCGCTGCCCGCCAAGGCCGACGGGCTCGACCGCTGGGAGGTGCCGCGTGAGCGCGTCGTCATCAACCGCAAGCTCGGCATGGGCGCCTTCGGCACCGTGTACGGCGGACACGCCCTCCTTGCCGAGGACCGCGGCTGGACCGCAGTCGCCGTCAAGACGCTCAAGGCGGGTGCAACCACCGAGGAGAAACTCGACTTCCTGTCGGAGGCGGAGGCGATGAAACGCTTCGATCACAAGAACATCGTACGGCTTCTCGGCGTCGTGACGAAAACGGAACCGGTGTGCACCGTGATGGAGTTCATGCTGTACGGGGACCTGAAGAACTATCTGCTGGCGCGGCGGCACCTGGCCGGTGGCGCACTGGTGGACGCGGAGCCGGACGAGGGCGCAGACGAGGTGTCGCCGCGCCGGCTCACGGCCATGGCGCTGGACGCGGCGCGCGCGCTGGCCTACCTGGCGCAGTTGCGCTACGTGCACCGCGACGTGGCCGCGCGCAACTGCCTCGTGTCCGCGCGCCGCGTGCTCAAGCTCGCCGACTTCGGCATGACTCGGCTCGTCTTCGAGAACGACTACTACCGTTTCAGTCGCAAGGGCATGCTGCCGGTGCGCTGGATGGCGCCGGAGAGTTTGACCCTGGGAGTGTTTTCACCGGCCTCTGACGTGTGGTCTTTCGGCGTGCTGCTCTACGAGATAGTCACTTTCGGCTCCTTACCGTTCCAGGGCCTCAGTAACTCCGAAGTTCTAACACGAGTCAAAGGAGGCCACACGCTCGAGTTGCCCCCAGGGCTCAAGCCGCAGCTGTAAGTTTACGATTTTCTTTATCTTCTGTTATAACAAATTTCCTTTTATTAAGTGGATGCCGACTCGATAAATTGTTTAGTCATAAATTAAAATCATGCATGCTTAAGAGAAATTATATGTTCCCAATTTATTTTTATGGAGGAGGAGACTAGCTTACAGTTCAACTGATGGTACTTGATCACTGTCACCTATAAGCATCTGCAGCACCAGAAAATTGCTGATGCGTTGCCTGCCTCTTAGAAAGGACCTTTTTTTCTTGAAAGTCCTTAAGTTGTATGGTAATTAGATTTCTCAGTAAAATTTTTCCCCGAATTCTTTATATTCGAATAATACTACGTCACCTAGCACTAAGAAGATTTAGTTTAAGTTGCGCGGTATATACCGTACTGTGTAGTGGCGTAAGAATATCTAATACCCCATATTATCATCTCGAGGTTGTCGTAAAAGGCGACGGAGGGAAACAAATCAAGAGATTTGCAGCAGCGTCCTAATAACGACTAAAAATAAAAATAAAACTGTAGTTGTACACGCCGCTAGTTGCCCCGACAAAGGTCAAATATTCCGGGTCCATCAGCGGTAGATTCGACGGACAACTAAGGGTGGGGCTCGAAATGCCTATGGATAATCAATATATATGGAATAGGTAATTAATTCGACTTACTTGGTTCAGAAGCGAAGACTGGCCACAAGGCTCGGTCAGGCGGGAGGTGTAGTGTATGTAAGTGGTGTTTAGTGGTGTGTAAAATGTAAAACCTAACTTAAACCTTTTAATCGGCAGCAGCCCTGACTCCGGCACCGCCACACTGTGTGGTATCCTCCAGCGGCGTCACCTCGATGTCACTCAAAGTCTAGCGTCCCTTATCACAAATCTATAATCTAATACGAACGCTGTTTCTCTTTCTCGCGGGTCTCAAAGTTTAACGTGTTTAACCTACACAGGAAAATATCTCCGAGTTACATCAAATGCCACAAAGCAACTCGTCGACGCAAATTAATATTGTCAAAGCACTTCAACCGGCAATCACCATACAATTTAAGTAAATTACTTGCCAACAAATTTAAGTTAATCAATCAAAATATTACGGCTTCGTTATCGCGTGAACGCACTAAAGATAACCAAACATTAGAAGCGACAAACCCCAAAAGTAAATTCTACGCGTCCTTTTGACCGGCAGTTGTTCACACATAAATCTCTCGATCCACGCGACCACGATTGGAATGCGGCCGGAAAGGGGCCGGCCGTGACCTTCGCACCGTGCTATGCACGCGCCGAGTCGCGAGTTATGAATTAAATTCTCAAAAGGTTAATTTTTGGCCTAAACAGTAGTAGTGGCAACTATGGCAAATATATCCCCTACACGGCAATCTATAGGGAAAGCCTATGTTCAACAGTGGGCTTTAAGGAATGTTATAATTAATGGAAGAACTGTGACTGGTGCGCAGCGAGGACCTGATCAAGTCGTGCTGGCAGCAAGAGCACCGCGCGCGGCCGAGCGCGGCGCAGCTGGCGGCGTGCCTGAGCGAGTCGCCGCGGCTGCTGGCGCCGTGCCTCGACGTGCCGCTGGACGCGCTGCCGCTGGACGCCGAGCCGCCGTGGCGCGCGCCGCCCGAGCGCGCGCAGGCCCGCTGGCTCTCGTGGGCCGCGCCCGCGCCCGCGCCCGCCCCCGCGCCCGCCTCCGCGCCCGCCTCCGCGCACACCGACACCACCTACCTGAGCTCCGAGCCGCGCGACACAGACCGCTTCCTGTCCTGACGACACCACCCGCTGCGGCTCCGAGTCGTCTCCCTCGCGCGCCGACATTCGACGACATTCCAATTCATTCTAGTCACGTTGTTGCAGCCGAGTTAGTTTAAATATTGTACATAATAAATATTTATATCTAATTAAGTAAAAAATTAAATATTAAGAAAAAATTACCGTAACGTGTTATCTTTTATTATCAGTATTTTCCCATCACAATCCCTTATGTTTGTAGTTATTTTGGTAACATACTTAATAAATGCCATCATTTAAGCAATTAATTATTTTACAAGTATGGTGTGATTTCGTGGATTTCGTTTATCGTAGGAGTGGACTACGGAAATACCGAGCAAATCACATGGAAAGTACACAGCGGTAAAACTATTATCTTCTATACCCCTAGCGTAATAATATGCTCAAATCATCAAGAACAAAAAGAATAGAGATTATACAGATAAATAAGCTGCATAGTTGATGTTGACCTGCTTAAAACCGGCTGTCGCTTTTGTAACCGTCACTCGTTACAATAACTTAATATCTTGGAACCTAAATCCAGAAATCACCTCGCAGATGAACTGCAAGATAGAATTTATGCTGCTCCAAAGTTCTCGTGGCAATTCTGATATATATAACAATGATATCATATTGCGTGCGGCACCACAGTCGTGACGATTTACTATACGCTACTCACCCGACTCTCAGCAGTGCTAACAACCCCATGGATTCCTGGACAGAAAAGAGACCTTACTACATAGAAAATAATTTCTCATCTCTCCGCACATGGTACTTATTGTAACGAGTCGAATATTCATGAGAAGTTTCCAATATCATGTTGGAACCTCGAAGATACATAAGACCTTACTACATTTATTTTATAGGAGAGGGAGCAAACGAGCATGCGGCTCACCTGATGGTAAGTGACTACCACCGCCCATGAACAACTGCAACACCAAGGGAATTGCAGATGCGTTGCCGGCCTTTTAGAAAGGCGTAGGCTCTTTTCTTGAAGGTCCCTAAGCCATAATACCAGCGTAAAATAGCAGCTTAACACGGCTGTGTTTCGTATGGTGAGTGTAGAGAACCGGAGACCCATTTTACTGGAAAAGAGGCATTCCATCTTAGTCCACACGAGTGACAACGCATCTGCATTTTGATTCTTTATTGAGGATTAATGTAGATGTCTATGGGCCACAGCAACCACTTACCATCAGGTGGACTGTGTGCTCGTTTGTCACTCGATCCTATAAAAGAAACTTGTCTCAGCGATATTTGCATATATCATGAAAATCCAAAACCAAGCGCTAGTGACCACTAACCACTGAGCCACGTATAGATGATAAACTTAATTATTTTACGTATTGAAAGCGCAGTTAAAATAAATGATATGAGGATATAAGCCATAATTATACTTACTATTTTAGAGGAAAAAAGCGCACAAGGAAAACCGTTATCAGTTGTGACGATGTAATTAATTCTAAACAATCCAGCAATATGCTTCAGTCAATGCCCGAGTGTCAATTTGCACGGACCCTGGTAGCTAGCCTTTGGCCAGCCCAAACACTTGCGACCTCACCTGACGCGAGTCTGAACACATTTTACAAGTGATAACTGAAAATGACCTGAACCTGAATACACTAGTTCTTGTCTTGTACGTATCCTTTTTAGAATTTTACGAAAAAAATTAGATTAATCATCGTAAAATCGTCTCCTTTGTGCGACTGCTATATCTACTACATTACACCCAATTAAATAGAATTGCTAAACTAAACACGCAGTCATACCATCTTAGTGTTCAAGGCTGATAATGGACCTCTCAATTTTTTCTTTAAGGTAGATTTAAAAATCTATGGAGCACAGTGGTCACTTACCATAGGGAGGTACGAGTGCTTGTCAACTCTCTCATCCTCTATAGTAATAATTTATTTATTTTTCATCTTAAAAATATAGATATTAATTAATAAGTGAAATGCGTCATGTTGTCCATTTGGTATCTACGGAAAAAATTATTAACATTTAAATGTTTACATCACCCACAATTAAATTTGCATTGCCATTACAACATATCAAAAGTCCACTGATGAACACAGGCCTCCTGCATAAATTACTTTCTAGGTAGGATATTTGTTACATCAACGTTTAGCAGGTGAGTTGGCAATCGCAGTTTTTTCTTATTCAGCTGTTATCAGGAAGACCCTGCCGCCCATCTCCTGATTTAAATTCTCTCTGCCACCTCTTACATGGATATTCTTACACCTCCACTACGCGGTACCAACATACAACGTGTCCCAAAATTCAACGATAAGCCAACACCGGAGGATAGACCTGCCCCGGACTAATCGGATAAAAAAAGAAAAAAAATATATCCCAATTATATTTTAAGTTATATAAAAAAAATGAAATTCTTCAGAAATTGAGACCGTTTATGATATTTTTCACTACCATGACCACAATTTTTTAAATATTTTTTTCTTTTTTTTTTATAAGCAACCTGAATAGTACTGCTATCTACCACAATTCTTAAAAACTCCAGAATAACTCTTGTTTTATCACGAAAATTAATGAAACTTATTTTATTCCCTAAATTTTTTGAAGACTTTTACTTTTAACCAAATTTAACTTATCGTGGTGTAAAAAAAAAGTATGAACACTAGTATGGCAAGTTTTTTTAAAAATTGACGCAACTAACCAATATTCCAAAATGGTATAATACTCTAGGAGAACAAGTTATAAAAAAATATGGGCCTATTATTTCTTAACAGGGGCCAAATTCCTTAAATTGTAATTGTCAGTAATCACTTTTACTACATGCCCAAAATGGGTTCCTGTTACAATTTCTAGGAATTCGAATGGGGCATTAATACCTTAGATGTTAGAGAGAGATAGATAGATAGAGATATTTACGTTAAAAAGAGACAACAACAGGGCAGGTAGAGAAGCTGTTATTATTCTCAGCAAGTCGGTTCAGTACGCTCTGCTCCTTTGTTTACTGCGCACCGTACCCAATTCAACTTACGTGGCCCTCGTACATACTATCGACTTTTGGCTTGGCTTTTTGGACTGGAATCGACCTGCAAACTTAACTGACCTGGCATTATTTGGACTGGAAGTGATCTGCAAACTGAACTGACCTGGCATTATCTTGGACTACGATTGTGTGTTTTGTGATTTAGAGTTCTGGCGCATTTTGGACTGTTTAGCGTTTAACATGCCGCAACCGTACACACCACAGGAATACGCTAATATGCATTTAATCTATGGAGAATGCCGATGTAATGCTAACGCTGCTAGCAGACTGTATCCAGAAAGATACCCAAATGCTCAAAGATATCCTGATTATCGAGTGTTTATTAATGTGCATCAAGCGTTTTCGGAGGGTCGTATGCCATCCAATAGGAGCAGCGCTGGAAGACCTAGATTGGATCGTGATGAAGAAGTTCTCAAGGAGATAGAAAATGACTCGACTACTTCGGTACGTGCCATAGAAGAAGCTACAGGAATCCCGAAAAGTTCTGCACATCGAATATTAAAACGTCACAAGCTTCACCCATATCACTACAGGCGTGTGCAGACGTTATTACCGCGGGACTATCCGCTACGGGTCACATTTTGCCGTGTAATGCTGCAAAGGCACAGTGAAGATCCCCACTTCCTAGACAAAATTCTATGGTCGGATGAAACAACGTGCAAGAAAGATGGGTATTTAAATCTTCACAATCTACATAGTTGGAGTAATGAAAATCCACACTTGATGAGACAAGACAAATCCCAATATCAATTCAAGGTTAACCTATGGACCGGCATATTAAATGGAAAAGTAATTGGGCCCTTTGAGTTACAAGGAAACTTAGATGGCAATAGTTATTTAAACTTTTTACAAAATGACTTGCAAGAATTGTTAAACGACGTGCCCTTAAGTGATCTTCAAAACATGTGGTTCCAAAATGATGGTTGCCCAGCACATTATGCCCGTCCTGTGCGAGAATATTTAAATCAAGAGTATCCAGGGCGTTGGATCGGGTGACTTGGTCCTATCTTATGGCCACCCCGTTCACCCGATTTGAACCCCCTGGACTTCTTCTATTGGGGTTGTCTTAAAAACAGGGTCTACTCAAAACCCATTGTGACATTGGACGAGCTTCGTCGAAATATCACTCAGGCTGTTGATTACATTAATAGCAGAAGATATGCAAGACAAATAAAACGATCATTTTTAAGGCGATGTCGTGCATGTATTAATGCTGGTGGCAAACAGTTCGAACATTTGCTATAATGTTAATAACTTAATAAATTACACGTGAAACTGTTTGTACCATTTGTTTTGAAATATTAAACATTTTTCAAGAAATAATACTTTTATTACACCCGACCGTCATTTGGCCCCTGTTAAGAAATAATAGGCCCATATTTTTTTATAACTTGTTTTCCTAGAGTATTATACCATTTTGGAATATTGGTTAGTTGCGTCAATTTTTAAAAAAACTTGCCATACTAGTGTTCATACTTTTTTTTTACACCACGATAAGTTAAATTTGGTTAAAAGTAAAAGTCTTCAAAAAATTTAGGGAATAAAAAAAGTTTCATTAATTTTCGTGATAAAACAAGAGTTATTCTGGAGTTTTTAAGAATTGTGGTAGATAGCAGTACTATTCAGGTTGCCTATAAAAAAAAAAAATTAAAAAATTGTGGTCATGGTAGTGAAAAATATCATAAACGGTCTCAATTTCTGAAGAATTTCATTTTTTTTATATAACTTAAAATATAATTGGGATATATTTTTTTTCTTTTTTTACCCGATTAGTCCGGGGCAGGTCTATCCTCCGGTGTTGGCTTATCGTTGAATTTTGGGACACGTAAAGCCAGTTTTTAACAATTCTTCTGTTTCGTGATATGATAGGGTGACCAATCATTTCAATATAATTAATTTCGCAGATATGTAGTTTTTACTTTATTACAATGTTATACGACCTTATTATAAATTCGTCTTTTGAAAAAGTCGCCAAAACGTTGTGCAAATTTAGTATTGACCGATGGTATGGATACTTTGTATACCCTGCGATTAGTCAGTGACTATTGAGGAAACGATTAGCTTCAATCGTCACGCTTCGCAAACGAGTTAGCGATGACAGTGCAGTAGATAATAATAATTTATTTATTTATTTCTCACCACAAACTAAATGGAAAATACATTAGTGTTATATCTCTACTTTAACCTTATTATGTTATTCGTGGTAGACTGGTGCCCATGTAGGTTCAAAGACAATTATAGGCTAACCCCCCCCCCCCCCCCCAATCCCCCCGAACTAACTAGACACTTAGTATCGAGATCACATTTGTTATGGTTAGAAATTATATTATATCTTTCTGACACGTCCTGTTGTTGCGTGTTACGACATCCACGGTACCAAATGAGTAAGTGGATTCTCTCCCTCCGCCACCACGTAGCTCTGCTTTGTACTTTTCTTCCGACTTTAATAAGGAGAAGGTACTCAATTCAACTGTATGTTTTTTATGTGTGTTACTAACTTTTTTCTGGGAGAACCGATTTCGATTACTCTTGTTTTATTTGAAAGCTTGTGCTTCTCATGTGATCCTATATAAATTTGATCAAGGTCTGACCAATGGTTTTTGAGTTATTCTCAATAATTTATATTGAAGTCGGTTTCACATTTTAAATTTTTTATTATTAATAGACATATTTTACTATACCCAAGCGACCCGCCTCAGTTTTGCCTCATTTTAGACCTGTTCATGTGGCGTTATTTAGATTTGAGACTATCAAATATTTTTATTAATTTATAGTTTTATTAATTTTTTCGAATAGGATAGCCTAGGTCCCTTCTTTTATTGCTCTATAGCTGTTCGTAAAGTTTCATCACAATCGGTCCAGCCATTCCGAAGTTTAGCCCGGACATACAGACAGACGAAATTGTATAAAATGGTTAGGAGCATGCAAATAACCCCCTGAGCTAAATAGAAGCCAGTGATTTCAATATTACAGATGGACACTTCAATTTTATTTATACTACATATTATATAATATTTGTATCTAGAGTCTAGCAGTAAATGTCACCATGTTTCTGGGTCAATTATAATGGCAAATTATGTTAATTCTGAATTGAATCGTGTAAACTCTTTCATTGTCTTTTTTTCTAAACACTGTAACATTGTAGTTTGGATAGAGGCTATAAGAGCAAAAATGCAGTGCACGGTGCCAACGCTGCTATTGCTGTGGCTGGCGGTCCTGCGGAGCGCACAGGCCGGCGCCTGCGACAGACTTCTCGCCAACTACGTCAATAGTGAGTTGTAACACCGCTTGTTGTCAAGCGATAACAGAAATTAAGGTGTGGTTTCAAATCATGCTTAGAGTTTTTATAGCATTAAAGGGCCCACAGTACAATCTATCTGACAGTAAATGGCCTGTAGCTTTCCGACACCTGCTAAGAAGTTCAAAAGAGAAGGCTGTAGGAATGTTGTCATCTACGAGAACTATGTCTCATAAGACTTACAACCAGTTTTGAGACGAGTTTTCCATATCCTTCAGAGTCTGATTTAATATACTCGTAAGATGATAACCAAGTCAAACTGATCGAGGACTGAGAACAGCGTCAATGGTTGCCTATCTTCCTAACAAGCGGTGATCATACCAAATTATCTAGTGTAAAAATGTATTTGTTCATATGTCCATGTTTAGAGGTTTATAAGTGTTAATTCGTGTTAGGAGATAAATTATGAAAACCATTAACTTATGTACGTAGCATGTAATACATTGTGTTAACTACAGTTAATTTACGTTTAAGTTGTACGGACGTATGTGAAAAAGAGACACAATAGGAGAGGGAGGCGATGACTGTGCTGTCACTTTATATTATTACATTTATTGCGCGGGTTCCATACTTGGAGCCAAAGATTTTTATGTATACTACTTGGCGGACACTACGGTACTTATATATTGCTCAATAAGTTATGGTCAATTCTCCGTAACTTCTTCAGTCGATTGCGAGCGAGTGATAAGACTAGTTCTTTGTTTTGTAACCAGCGAACATTGTTTTCGACAATCCAACACAAATTTTATTCAATGTTACTAAGAAAACGCTGTCATTATTTGTGTGCGCATTTTGTCAATATGACTTAAAGCTTATTACAGATAAGTATGTCTTTATATCGTATTTTCCTAAAAAAAGTACTTAACTATCGTAAATGAAAATACTCACCGCGCCCGCGCGATCCACAGCTGAGACACGGTTTTTATTCTGAATAGGGTAAAACACCCATTTTCAAAAAGTGTTTTAAATGAATCCTAGAGTAATAACGATCCGCTGTAATTTTTATATATTTTTTTTAAACCGAATCATCATCATTCATCATCATTACAGCCCTTCATAAGTCCACTGCTGAACATAGGCCTCCCCCAAAGAATGCCACAAAGCACGGTCCTGAGCCACCTGCATCCATCGACTTCCTGCATGTCTTACCAGGTCGTCACTCCATCTCGTGGGGGGACGCCCTACACTTCGCCTACCGGTACGAGGCTGCCACTCGAGAACCTTTATTCCCCATCGGTTGTCGGTTCTTCGAGCTATATGGCCGGCCCACTGCCACTTCAGCCTACTAATCCGTTGGGCTATGTCGGTTACTCTAGTTCTACTGCGGATATCCTCATTTCTAAGTTTATCACGCAGAGAAACTCCGAGCATAGCCCTCTCCATAGCTCGCTGAACGACCTTGAGCTTCCTCATATGGCCAGCTGTGAAGGACCACGTCTCAGTTCCGTAAGTCATCACTGGCAACACGCACTGGTTGTACAATTTCGCTTTAAGGTTTTGAGGTATGTCTGACGAGAAAATGTGTCGTAGTTTCCCGAACGCTGCCCAGCCGAGTTGAATCCGTCGATTGACCTCTCGGTCGAAGTTGGACTTACCTAGTCGGACTATTTGTCCCAGGTAAACATACTTATCAACAACTTCGAGCTTAGTGCTCCCAACAACTACCGGCATAGGTGTGACATGGACATTAAACATGATCTTTGTTTTGTCCATGTTCATCCGAAAACTTATTCGTTGGGAGACACTATTCAGGTCATTGAGCATAGTGCTTAGGCAACAGCCATGAGATTAAGAGTGTGATCGGAGAGTTTTTGTGTTCTTCTGCGGCGGGTCTTGCAAAACTTTGCTCCGACTGCATTGACAGTTTCCACGAGCTTGTCATTCATATCGTCCACTGCATTGCAATCTTCTAGGCACTGAAAACGGTTTCGTAGCTCGAGCTGAAAGGTTTCAGGACTTTGGATTAGAGCACGAGGGGGACGGAGCGTTGACTTCATTAGAGGTGACCTCTCTAACTTAACGTTTAGGTTCAGTGTGACTCTCACCATTCGTTGATCTCTGCCGGTTTTCACCCTTGCGATCACTGAGACATCACTAAACAGTTGTCGTCTGGTCGTAACGTCACTGCCCTAGAATTTTGCCAATTTTGCAAAGGAATAAGATACTTTTCTACCAACTTCAAAAAGGAGTTGGTACTCAATTCGACTGTATGTTTTTCTTTATGTGTGTTACCTCATAACTTCTTCCTGGGTGAACCGATATCGATGATTCTTTTTTTATTTGAAAGCTGGTGTTTCACATGTGGTTTCATATAAATTTTATCAAAGTCTGACCAATAGTGTTTGAGTTATTCTTAATAATTTATATTGAAGTCGGTTATAAAAAAATTTAAATTTAAAATTATGGATGTTTAATAATGAGTTATCATCTATATCATTGTTGTGTTGTATCTGAATGCAAAAATACGAGCATATAAACGCCTAAGAAGTTATGGATTCAAGTGCCAAGTGATTTAAATATGACAAATACTTGGTTAAAACTAACAAGAAGTTACTCGAATACATTTTCTACAAAAACTAGACTATATTTCTGTGAAGATCATTTTGATATAAGTATTACATACTTAACTATCGTTTATACAAAACAAAATATCATGAGGTGATAGGAATTACAAGTCAAATTTTGTAATAGATAATGTTATCTTAGATACTAAAACTAATGATTGCTAATTATTGTAATCATAGATCAATCATAGATTTAAAAAAATAAAAAAATAGATAAACTTAACTATGTTTTATCAAAATACACTCTGCCCTGGTATTGTGTTATTGTATAAACAAAAGTTGGTAATAAGTACTTACGTTAATGTTTTAACATTCCTCAAACAACAACAACAATTTTGCCACCGTCAATGTATTTATCCTTAGTAGATTAGTACTTTCTGCTTTTACGAATCCGTCTTCCATGATGTCATTTTAATAAAATGTAGAATAACAGTTAACAACTATTGTGATGATAGCTTGAAAATTTGTGAAGTAGCACACTGCACATTAGCTAGTTTACTTAAGGCGCAGGTTGAGCAAAATGTCGCGCTAGTCGTTATTTGTGCGGTTTTTAGATATATCAACTAATAAAAAACACATTATATTTCTACATAATCTTGATTCTTTCTATCATATTTTTTTTTCAAAAGACCAAAATTTTATTTTATTATGAAATTATTTTAAAAACTGGGCGTATTCACTACCCACGGGCTTGCTGTAATCAGTGAGCGCTAAGCTCTTGAAGGTGAAACCCGTGTCGTTTGTCATGACGTCAGCCAGCGCACATGCTCGCTGACATCATCTTATCAATCGATAATATTATTATTACTTATTAGGTTATTTATAGGTAGTATTATTTGTTTGTTTTGGGTATAATTTTTCGTATTAGTTATACATATATTTGTTGTGGTTTTTACTGCGCGATGAAGCTTTTTGCGTGTATTTTCTTTGAAGTAAATGCAAATAAAAAAATGAAGCATCATTAGCATGTAAGGTTCGAATCCATAATTAACATTTTGACAATTATTATAATTTACACTATAAAAGGCTAATTCAATATTATCAGTATAGTATACAATTAAAAATAATCCTAATACCCAACCACAATATCTTATTAGGTATAGTACTGCCTCGTTGGTCTAGTGGTTGTAGTAGTGCGACTGCTGATCATGAGGTCCCGGGTTCGAATCCCAGGTCGGGCCAAAAAGTCACTTATGAGTTTTTCATTTATGTTCTAAGTTATAATTAGTATTACTAGGTTATAGTTTTTTGCTAAAATATAGTATATTATTTATTGCTTGTTATTTTCTTCTTTTTCAAAAAATAATTGAGCACATAAGGTGTTCTTAATATAGTCCGAATGTCAGAGAGAATAGCTAGTACATCTTTTGCTAAACTTTAAAATCTAAAACCAATTTTAAAACAGACGAATTGATCATAACTCCCTTAGCTATACAATAAGTTATGATCTAATTAATGGTATTTATTCCAGTTTATGGCAGCCCTGATTTATATTACGTGGCTGAAATTAGGTACTTTTTATTAGGTACGTCAAACCAAATAACAGCCGGGCGGCTGACATTATGCACTCCATACATTTCTTATATTATCTAATTACAGCCCCATTAATTTCCACTAAAAGAAAACTGCCGTGTAGTGGCGGTCAAGAATATCCACTACCCCATATCCTCCCGTGGGTGTCGTAAAAGGCGACAAAGGGAAACAGGCAGGAGATGGGCAGCAGCATCTTCCTGATAATAGCCAAAATTACAATAAAAAAAAACTGCGGTTACCAACCCGCTCGCCAAGCGTGGCAACTATGGCAAATACCCCCCTATGAATGAATAGAATAGAATAGAATAGAATGATTTTTATTCAATATGGATTATTACATAATACTTATTGAAAGTCATTATTTTATTTACCACTGGTTCGGAAAATACCTCTGTCCTGGGAAGAACCAGCAAGAAACCCAGCGGGACTTTTTTTTTAAACATAATTTCACTTAACAATAATTTTGATTATACAATTTTAAACGAATTTTCATAGAACCAGCATGGTGGCGATCACCTTATTCCCAGGGGTTATTTTCATTCATGTATTCCTTGATATTATAATAACCCTTTTTGTACAGTTTTTCTTTAATAAAACTTTTAAACTTGTTTATTGACAAACTTTGAACATGTTCTGGGATTCTGTTGTAAAAGCGTATACATTGCCCCATAAATGAATTACTAATTCTGTGGAGTCTTGTAAGTGGCATTACAAGCTTATGTTTGTTCCTAGTGTTTAAGGTATGAACATCCTTATTCTTATTAAAGCTATTTATGTTTTTATGTACATACATTACATTTTCATAAATATATTGCGATGCCAAAGTTAATATGTTTATTTCTTTAAATTTTTCTCTAAGGGACTCTTTACAATTTA